AATTTAAAAAAAATTCTTCACTATATCAAGATCTTCACTATATCGAGAGTTCACTATAACGAGAGTGACTTGTATAAACAAAATAAAATAAATAAATAAAAAAATACTACGCATCAACAAAAAAAAAAAAACAATCATTTGTGATTTGATCAAGTTATAATTGTTGTTGTGGTTATTCACTGCTTTGGGGAGGTTCAGGTCGTCCATTATTTTGAGGCCGTCCATTATTTTGAGGCCTTCCATTATTTTGAGGCCGTTCATTATTTTGAGGCCGTTCATTATCATTAAAGAAACTTTCCACTTGATTACTTATTTGTCCTCTCCAATTTGAAGGAATTGCCGGTAATTCATTTGAAGTACGCGATCCACCTGTTTCTGATGGAGGAAAATCATTTGATGTAGGTGTTCCTGCATCAAGTGGAGTAGGACCTTGAGCGGGTGCAGTGGTGGTTGGATCAGCACGACGATTGAAACGTTTTTCAGCAACTTGTGCATACGGGGAGCCTACAGGATATGAAAGCGTGATAGTGATTAAGAGGATTGTGATGCTGAGAGATATAAATAATATTAAGAGGAATTTTTGAAACATTGTAGAGGTGGATGGATATGCTTGTTTTTTACAAATTAACTTTATAGTTTTGCGACAACGACAACACGAAACCAAACGGTACTAAAGTCCTTTATAGTTTTGCGACAACGACAACACGAAACCAAACGGTACTAAAGTCCTTTATAGTTTTGAGACAACGACAACACGAAACCAAACGGTACCGAATTCTATAAATACTTCATCCCAGCCACATTATAAAATACAACATAATATCAAGCCTCAATTAGTACGCGTATTTCCTAAGCCTCGTTATCACGCAAAAGAACACTTTGGGTAATAAAAGCCGAGTTTACGCGTACAAATAACAAAACGATTGATCATGTATTTAAAGATGCTTATTCAGCTCAAACTGTAAATATATCAGCTTCAAACTGTAAATATAGCGCGATCACTTAAATAACAAATCACTTAAATAGCAAATCACTTAAATAACAAATCACTTAAATAGCAAAGCCACATTTTTTTTCCCTTTATATACATTAATACAAATAATTGTTAAGATACATATACATATATACAATAATGATTTCCCATTTTTTCTAAAATAGACTTTCGATTAAATATGAATTAACATCAACATTCTTATTCTTAATAGTATTCAACTTAAATGTTGAATATTGACGTTTAGTTATACGAAAAGTAGTTCCATTTGTACAAAATGAAGATGGAATACTGATGAGACAAATTTTAGTGTAATAAGTGGATTTTAAAGACCAATCGGGTCCGGATATTGAGAATTTGGACGTTCCGGTATTCAAAGGTTTCTTTATTTGTGTATATATTATATTATGTAGAAAGAAAATTAGTTGAATGAAATAATTTAAAAGAAACATAAATGATCATAAATGATATTATTATCTTACGTTATTTGCAATCAGAGGTGTATCATTTCCAACCTTATAAACCGCAGCAATCACATTAGCTATACAATATTAATTATATATTACATTATTACATTAATTATTTGATGAGAATCTTCTCTAGCAAAGATTAATATATATAATAATATACTAACGATTTCCAAGAATTCCAGATGCCCACCAACTAATAGTTTGTTGACTTCCAACAATCCAAGGACCTGGTCCTGGAGCAACCACATGAATCTCTGGTACCATCGGTAACGCATTTATTAATCCAATTGTCATCATTAATATAATAAATGCTTTTATCATCATCAATATAGTTCTTGGAGTTTGAATAAAATTTATCATTTTGTACGTATTTAATTGTTAACGATGGTCGAGATTTTTTGAAAAAATACGTTCAATTTAAATATGTTTAGTTTTGGTTATATAAAAATCTCCTTTACCCAATATAAATTAGATTTGTTGGTATCGCATTATCGTTATTGGTTATTCAATTTGATTATCAATTCGCATATGGTTTCCTTATATATATACAATCCTGTCGGCCT